GGATGACTATCTTAATTATGATCCCCAGGGTCTAGTGGCACTATCACAAATGGTACTCAATGTTTGCCAAGCTGCTGGCCAACCATCATTGTGATCCAAATATTTTTTTCCTATTGCTTTTTAGAGAGAGTGGAAGGGGGAGGGAGGTGGAGAAAGGGAGAGAGAAACATCGATGTGAGAGAAACACATTGATTGGCTGCCTCCTGCAGGAGCCCCGAATGGGGCTGTGGGGCCAGGGTCAAACCTGCAACCCAGGTACGTGTCCTTGACTGGGAATCGAACTCGCGACCCTTCAGTGTGTGTGGGCCAACGTTAGAACCACTGAGCCAACAATGACCAGGGCCCAAATATTTTTATCAATTACAGTTCATATTTATGTTGTATTAGTTTCAGGTATACAGCACAGTAGTTAGATAATCATATACTTTACAAAGTGTCCCCCCCTGATATTTCCAGTATCCACCATACATAGTTATTACAATACTATTGACTATATTCCCTATGCTGTACTTTATATCCCCGTGACTATTTTATAACTACCAATTTATACTTTTTAATTCCTTCACCTTTTTCATCCAGTTCTCCAATCTCCCTCCCTCTGGCAATCGTCAGTCTGTTCTTTGTATCTAAGAATCTGTTTCTGCTTTGTTTGTTCATTTATTTTGTTCTTTTGATTCCATATATAAATGAAATCATATAGTGTTTGTCTTTCTCTAACTTATTTCACTTAGCATATCCTCTAGGTCCATCCACGCTGTCACAAATGGTAAGATTTCATTCTTTTTGATGGCCAAGTAATGTTCTATTGCATATATGTACCAGAACTTTTTTATTGATGGGCACTTGGGTTGATTCCATAGTTTGGCTACCGTAAATAGCGCTGCAATAAACATATGAGCGTACATATTATTCTGAATTAGTGTTTTGGGTGTCTTCAGATTTATACTCAGATGTGTAATCACTGGGTCATAAGGGAGTCCCATTTTTAATTTATTGTTTATTGTATGGACCAGTAAACAGTTCCATACTGTTTTCCATAATAGCTGCACCAGTCTGCATTCCCACCAAGTGCACAAGTGTTCCCTTTTCTCCACACCCTCGCCAACACTTGCTGTTTGTTGATGTATTGATGATATCCATTTTGACAGGTGTGAGGTGATATATCAGTGTGGTTTTAATTTGCATTTCTCTGATGATGAGTGACGTTGAGCATATTTTTATAAATCTATTGACCATCTGTATGTCCTCTTTGAAAAAGTGTGTATTCAGATCCTTTGCCCATTTTTAAATTGCATTTTTTTTTTGGTGTTGAATTGTAGGAGTTCTTTATAAATTTTGGACATTAACCACTTATCAGACGTATCATTGGTGAATATCTTCTCCCATTCAGTGGGTTGTCTTTTCATTTTGTTGGTTTCTTTCACCGTGCAAAAACTTTTTAGTTTGATGTAGCCCATTTGTTTATCATTTCCCTTGCCCCAGGAGATATATCGGGG